GGAGGGGGTTCGGCCCCGTGTCCACGGGGCCGTGGTGTGCTCGGTGCGATGCTGAGACCGGTGTCCTGCTGCAGGTGGAAGTAACGCGCTTGTTTCGTATCCACGAGTCTCGGACACGGCAACAGGGCCTAACGGTAACAGTTACAGCAGCCACATGGCAGGCACTTGGATAATGCAACATTTATCACTGAAAACACGTTGCTTCAAAGTACCTTCAGTGCCGTATTTGGAATACTTACCATTAGTATAACTATGTAAGAATGGACTTTTTTTTTTTTTTCATACTTTCTGCTATATCAGGTGTTTCTTTTCATCACCTAGTTTCAAGCCACCAACCTATTATTACCGTTTTCATAAAAGTTAAAGCCAAACCAGATGGAGCAGGGAAAGGCAGGAAAGCGTTAGCATCTCCAAGTGTGTGTGCACACATGTGGGCATGCAGGTATGCTGTGGGAGCAGCTGGCTGGGCAGCTGCACCCCCTGGCCAGCCCATCAACATGCTCCAACTATTTATAACCTTCTGTGGTGTTTTACGTAGCAGCATTATCGCTGGAGGTCTATGGAGGACTGAGCTTTGTGTCCAACAAACGGCTTGTCTAGGAAATCACATCCTTCAAACTGTTAGAAGGGTTTAAACAGAATGCTCCTAACAAGGAAATAAATGGGTTGCTAGAACTCAAGTCTGTCAAAAGTTTTTGTCCAGGTCATTCGTGAAACCTAGAGCAGAAACAGAGTAAGTTACAATCTTGTTATGAATGAGAAACGAAGCAAAGTACATGAATTAAAAGCATGCTAAATGTCAGAAACAAAAGGATAGGATTATCTTTTGTTTCATTTATTTTGGCAATAGAAAAAAAGTAAATGTGTTTCAAGCAAAATATTATCCAAATAGAATGGAAATAGGAAGGAAAATGTGACATCAAATAAAGTAAGCTTTCTGCTTGCCTGGAATTCTAGTCTGCTGTCAGAAAGGATCCTGCAGAATTTGAGGGAACCTGACGATGGAATATCAGGATTTGGGGGGCTCTGGAAAAATACAATGAATTTTATTTTTTTTTTTAAATCATGTATGACATAGGAAGAAAGATAAATAAGCTATGACCAATGTATACAAAACTCACAAATGGTTTGCAGAAATGTATTGGGAGGGTCTTTTTGTACATAAAAAAGAAGAGCCATTTGAACAGTGAAAATACCAAGTTTGCTAAAACAAAATAGTCACAGAATCATTTAGGTTGGAAAAGACCCTGAAGATCATCAAGTCTGACCATTAACCTAGCACTGCCAAGTCCACGACTAAACTATGTCCCAAAGCACCATATCTACAAGTCTCCTCAATACCTCCAGGGATGGTGACTCCACCACTTCCTTGGGCAGCCTGTTCCAGTGCTTGACAACCCAGTTTCGCAGAATGTGTAGTTAGGCTAACGTTATTTCATGTTGTGGAGGTCAACAGCTCTGAGAGAAAGGAAAAACTAGAGATTTGTATAGGTAAAAATACAGATTTATAATGTAAGAAAAGTACAGAAGGGGATATAGGATTACAATCTTGAGTTTAGCCTTGGTTTTGATTTTTAAAATTTAGGTTAAGATTTTCATTTTGTTTATCCTGTATGTGCCTTCTGCAGGAGGTATCGCATCTTTCTCCAAAGCCTCTAGTGCTAAGCACTTCTGGAAACAGGAGATGGGACTAGCTGGGCTATGCTGTCATTTGTTGGCGGTCATCATGGCTCTCACTTCTATCATCTGATGGTTCTTTGGGAGCCTGTGCAAAGTAAGCTGCTGTCCAGTTTCAGAGGTAGAAAGGACTGGGTGCAGCTTGGTTGTTCTCACAACTGACACCACTTCTGTGACTGCCATTACTAAGTGACATGTTAGAAGTCTTTGTGATACGAGCTCATAGCTTCAGTCCTAGGCAGATCGAGCTATTGGAATTTACCGTGACTCAGGTGGGGAGGAGGAAGAGATACAGTAGTAAACTTTCCTCCCTCCTGTGGAAATAGTCTTCAGCAAAAAAGTAGACAATAGATGTGCTTTATTTCTAGTTCTTGTATAAAAACTATACCTTATATCTAATAATGTTATGTTATATACTTATAAGTATCTACTTAGTATTTACTTGTACTAATATCTACTTACATCTGTTCATGTTAGAGGACAGTACATTTTTTCTGGAACATATGCTTTGTTGTAACAAATACACACGTTTTTAATGACTGTATGAAGGCATCTCCAGTCCGTCCTTTGGAGAGCTGGTCGCTTTAGGTGCACAGCAAAGCACAGAATGTAGTGTGGGCTAATTTATTTTCTTTTGACAGAATAATTTAGCTCACAACAGACTGCTGTGTAATGCCACAGTTGTATCGCCTCTGAGTATCTGAATGCCCTACTGAAGTTTATTCCAGTCTATATTTTGCGTTGATGTTTAATGTGATTTCACTTTTTCATTACTTGTTTTTACTTGTTTTCATTATTTGTCTTAAGATTTGGTTGTAGTAGCATTTTACAATTTTTATTTCTTTTTTTTCCCCAAAAAAAGATCTTCAGTCTTGATCTTGGAGGTATATCTGCTATTGTACTGAATGGCTATGATGCAGTAAAAGAATGTCTTGTTCATCAAAGTGAAATTTTTGCAGATAGACCATCTCTTCCCCTGTTTAAGAAGCTGACAAACATGGGAGGTAAGTGCTAATGTCTTTTATATAAAAATGGAATTTTTGTCCAATAGATGGGTTTGTGATCACATGAAACATTTGCTTTAGCTGTTTTCTCTACTTCTTTATCTCCTTTCATAAAATACTTGATCTTTAAAGATACTATTTGGAAAAAATTGTCACTCTTGGACTGTGTTCCATAGCAAGTTGTGTTTAATTTTTTGTCTTGTTTTTTGTCTTGTTAAATAATTTTTATTACCTTATGGAGGAGAAATAAAGTGTTGCATAAAATACTGTGTCAAAATATTTTTTCAGGCTTACTGAACAGTAAATATGGCAGAGGATGGACAGAACATCGCAAATTAGCTGTAAATACCTTTCGAATTTTTGGATATGGTCAAAGGTCCTTTGAACACAAAATTTCAGAAGAATCTATTTTTTTTCTTGATGCCATTGATACATACAAAGGCAGACCATTTGATCTTAAGCACTTGATAACAAATGCTGTTTCAAACATTACTAATTTGATTATTTTTGGAGAACGTTTTACATACGAAGATACTGAATTTCAGCACATGATTGAGATTTTTAGTGAAAATATTGAATTAGCTGCTAGTGCTTCTGTATTTTTATATAATGCTTTTCCTTGGATTGGTATCTTGCCATTTGGGAAACACCAGCAGCTGTTTAAAAATGCAGCTGAAGTCTATGACTTTCTTCATGAGCTTATTGAACGTGTCTCTGAAAATAGGAAGCCTCAGTCACCTCGACATTTTGTAGATGCATATTTAGATGAGATGGATTGCAATGAAAATGATCCAGAATCTACATATTCAAGAGAAAACTTAATTTTCTCTGTTGGAGAACTCATCATAGCTGGGACAGAAACCACAACAAATGTTTTAAGATGGGCAGTGTTATTTATGGCTCTTTATCCAAACATTCAAGGTAAGAACTTTGACATTTTGAGGAACTGATATATTTTCCTATATCAAATTTAAAATGCTTTTTCAAAGTGATGCAGTGATCCACAGGCATAACCAAAAAGGAAGGTTTGTATATGTTATTCTGTTGTATCATTTACCAAATATACTGTGGACAGATGTAAAAAGCTTATTTTATATGCAGATATCAAAATCAAGTATAATGATAAAAGTTTTAGCATACTGTTTTGTGAATACTTTTTAATGAAGCTTTAATATTTTTAATAAAGTACTTCTAATATATTTAGGTTTAGTTTTGCGATGCATATTATTGGTTGGCAGATGTATTAATCTATGTAGTTAAATAAGTGAATGCAATTAGGTATGAAATAAAAATGTAAAAACATCATCTGAAATGCAAATCAGGTTGTGGTTATCCATTTAGGTACAATTCACAACAGATTTACGTATTATAGACATGTGTATTTATACTTTTGGAAGAACAAAAATAGCATTTACAAATAAAACTAAAAATTTGTGTTCTAGTCGTTCTGAAGTAAAACAGCATTAGATGATTGAATGTTAGCTAAGACATTTTGTGTAGAAGCTTGAACTTTAAAAGTGAACAGTCACATTTCTTGTTTCACTGCCTCCATTTTGCTTTTCCTATCAAAACGTTAGCAGTGCTTAGTTCAACTTGGGACTTTCGGTATTTGGAGAAAGAGCAGCCTAGGTAAATTCCTTCTCTGTTATGATCCAACCAAGATACTGTTTTTCAATAAAGATCTAGAAAACATTACAGTATTGTGTTTCCTATGCCTTAGCTGATTTTGTAGAGACCCACTCACCTAAAATAATCCTCTGATCTCAGATCTTGCAATATAATGAGTTTCTGAATTTGGATTCAAAATCCGTTCATCTGGATAAAAATAAAATTTACTGTTCCCTTTCATTTATTTAGACTTTCTCTGTCCAAATATTACACTCTACATGATATACCAGTACACTGCAGAATGTACTTTAACTAAGCTGCTTTTCACCTCTTTCATGTGAAATGTTGTCACCTCAGGTTGAAAAACCTGGTGATTCTGGTAGAACTTTTCTGCCTTTGTCCAGATTTTCATTACCGATTCAACATGAATTGTTCAAGTCCAGCTGTTCGTTAGGAGCTGTTTGGCAGTTTCAACAAAGAACGTGTATCAGGAAAAAGAAGTGGCAGACTGAATGCCTTTGAGATTATTTAAATAACCTGTGAACTTAAGCTATTTAAAAAATTAAAAACCACAGTGATTGAATTTGTTCCTTTTCAGTCCCTCTCACTGTGTTGTATCAGATATTTTCAGGTTAAGAGTGAATGATTTTACACTGTGACAATTCTAAAGAATCATTGCAGAGTCAAGACAAGGGAAAGTTCAAGTCACTAATTTCAGTGTTATCTGTGTTCACTCAAGTATTTAGTGTACTTTATCTTTGCAGTCTTTTGCTTGCTTCTTTAGTTTTGAAGAGCTCCAGAAATAAAAATATACACAAGCAGAGAAGAGTATGTTAAAACATGATTTTACCAAGAATAATTACTTTCAAAATGAAGATTACTGGTATATATGCTAGTAATAATTCCTACTAGCAGGATAAGGAATATAGAGTCTAATTTTAAAAGCTATTATATTTTATATGGGATATTTAATGTTTCGGTATCCTTTTAAAAGTATATATTTTATAGCTTAAATAAAAAAAAAATTAAGGATATTTCACAATAAACATCAGCTTTTATTCCTGTTCCTAACAGGGCAAGTTCAAAAAGAAATTGATTTAGTCATCGGCCCAAACAAAATGCCAGCTTTTGAAGAGAAATGCAAAATGCCATACACTGAGGCTGTTCTACACGAAGTTCTAAGATTCTGTAATATAGTTCCGCTAGGTATTTTTCATGCAACATCCAAAGATACTGTTGTGCGTGGTTACTCTATTCCTGAAGGTACTACAGTCATTACAAACCTCTACTCCGTTCATTTTGATGAAAAATACTGGAGCAATCCAGAAGTGTTTTTTCCTGAGAGATTTTTGGACAGCAATGGGCAGTTTGTCAAGAAAGATGCGTTTGTTCCTTTTTCGCTAGGTAAGAGTGATTCTTTCAACTGTTTCTTTTCATAAATCTAGAGATGTAAAATTTATAAGTGATGGCAATCAATCAGGAAGGGACAGATGATATAAAATATCCACGGTTCTGATGAAACAGCTATTTTAAAGTTAATTGATTACAATGCACTCTGGACATAACATATTTTAGCATAATATCTTTTATACAGATGAGTTCATTATTACACCTAAACTAACAAAAAAAGCACAATATATTCTTATCTGAGAAGTCTATACATTTTATTGCAGTACATTAGTGTTATTCGTTTCACAATTAGTAGTGATTTGCCGCTAAAGTCATTACAAACAGGTGATTTACACAACCGGCTTTCAAATTTCCTTACTTAAATCAGCTCCAAAAATCACAGATTTTATTCAGAACCAGCTTGGGGGTCAGCATGTAGTACTGCAGTCTGTTTTGAGGAAATACTCTGGATTTGTCTTTTGATGCCTATAAGAGTGGATAATCTACCTTACATATGATTATCAACCTAAAATAATTAGGTGTTGTGTATAAGCAAACTGCCAGGACTACCTCTGCAGTCCACAGAAAGACAAACCTTGTGTAAAGGGTGACTTAGTTTACTTATGTGGGATACTTTCTCCAAAAAATAGAAGACAAAGCAATTCCCTTGAAATAGATGCACATCTAAATGGCCAGAGTTAGATTTGATGGAGTCCACCTTTATTGTGTATTCTATTACGTTTCTTTTTGCCTGTTTGACCTTACAGTTCCAGATGTTGTCCACTCATCCGTGTCTTCCACAACCACATTTACTCCCTGTAACTAGTCATACACGGAATGGAAACTAATAATTAAAGGCATTATCCAGACCTGTTTCAACTTTCTACTTACCAAGTTATAATAATTGGCAGGTAATAATGACTGGCAGTAGAGGTAATTAAGAAAACAGTAGTGGACAAAGGCTGAAATTCACAGTTATCATTTTTAAAAGACATCTTCTGTCTAGATTGGCACTTCAAGACAAGGTAAAGTAGCTAATAGCTTATCTAAATAAATTTGACAATTAGTTACGATAGCATTTGTGTAGTGAGAGAAACAAATTCTCTAAAATCTGTTTCTTGCTGTAAATTATCACCTATCCTCTCTTAAAGAATACTACCACCAAGTTCATACAGCTCCTCTTAGAACAGAGAAATGACCATTTTTATTCATAATAAGAATGAAAATGTCATTGAACACATTTTGAGTCTTTTCAAAACCTTCTTTTCAATCCAGGAAGAAGACATTGTCTTGGAGAACAACTAGCTCGAATGGAAATGTTTTTGTTTTTCACTTCATTACTGCAACGATTTCACCTGTGTTTTCCTCATGGGGTGGTTCCAGATCTGAAACCAAGATTAGGCATGACCTTACAACCACAGCCATACCTCATCTGTGCAGAAAGGCGGTGAACAGAAGGGTCTAGGTTGGCAGGTGGAGCAAAATGCTCCAAGGTGCAGCTGAGGATCCACTTTGTCTTCTATTTCTAATTGTTCATGTCAGACAAACAAAACTTTAAAGGACTTGCAGATAAATTCTGACTATTTGTGCACAAATTAATAGTTTCTTTTTACTTGGTTTTCACCAAAAAAAACCCTTCATCCAAAACCATGAAACACATCCTGTGTTTAAAGTTGATGTTTTCACTCCGGAAGTCTGTTATGAATCTAACTTCTGATTCAGCTTTTAAGTACTTAATTACTTAGCAATCCTTTTTACTTTTAGAGGATATTTTTATAAGCATGGAGAATATGTCTCAAAATGTTTATACTGAGTATATATACTCAAAATGTATATACTTACTGTATATATTAATCTGTGGGAATCTCATTTACATTATTCCAGCTAAGCTGTTCTTTATAATTCTCCATTAATTTTACATAGCTAAAAAGGATTTAAAGGTATCTATGTACATTTCTGTAACTCAGAATAAACTGTCTTTTCCAGTCTTGACAAACAAATTGTGTATTAAAGCATTTTAATCCTTCCTTCCCTGTCTTCAAAGTTGGTCATAATTTTCTAGTGAAGCAGATCACTGTGTGAATTCACTTTTAAGATCATTTACAGTTTGCTTCTCATTTAGTATCATATACAAAGTTTTCAGTTACTGCCATGCTCCTGACAATTACAGCAATCTTTTTTGCCAGTTTACTGCATTTCCAGACACATGTCCTCCACTGCCTCCCAACAAAAAGCATTATGTAATGATTAATCTCTGCCTAAGTAATCTGGAAAAGACAGTGTTTGTGTTACCGGAGTCACATGCAACTATACTACGAGTCAAGAAAATAAGCTGCTCATGAGTCTGACCAGTGAAGAGTCCTTTTAGGGAGGGGGAGTGGAATACGGTTGGGAGAAACATTTTAAGCACAAGTTTGGGGCATAACAGCTACTTTTGACTTCTGCCAGCTTCATTCTTTAATCTTGACAGCTATTGCTTCATGGTTATTGGTAGATAAAAGATTTATGCATGCAGGCCCTACAGGAGAAACTGTTACTCTAAATATAGTATGTTCAGGCCCCACTATGTGGGGAGAAGTAGGGCCTCAGAATAGGGTTCAGAACAAAACACACACTGAGTAATCAGGTATTTAAGGACAGGGCTGTATATTAGACCTTGCTCTTTATACAGTTTATGCTTCAACTTGGAGCTGCAGGAAAGTTCAAAGGCAGGAATTGGTGGTTTTCTGCTGACTGGATGTTTTCAGCTTACACTGAGCAGAAGTATTTCCTTTCTTTTGAAACAGCCAAAAAGAAGGATCAAAGAGAGCTAATACCGGTCCACTTATATAATAGCCTATTGACTTAAAATGCAGCAGATCCAGATTACATTACTGCCTGAGGGTAGTCAGACCCACATGTCCCACACAGAGCATCTCAAACACATGTTCCTGGTGCTCTGAAGAGGGTGGGCAGGGGACTCTTGATGAATAACTGCCTTTCTGTAAAGAAGATTTAAGATTCAAGGAGAGGAAGGAGGTATATCTGATTGCTGTGCATTGGGCACACCACAAAAGCTGTGAATAAACCACTCCTAAAATACTGGCAAATAGTGGGGCTTAGGAGTCAAGATTGAGGCTTTTCTATATACCTGCCTAAATTAGGTGCTTGTGAAATGCTTAAGTAAAAGTTGTGGAATCTACTGAATTTAGGCACCTTCAAGGATGAAGCAATACCAAACAGAGGAGTTCAGTGCTACAGTTCTGGGCTCATGATAATTCTTCCTAAATCCCACCCTGTGCTCCGAGATGAGACAGACAGAGCTTTGTTAGTATCCAGGCTTGCCTTCTGGGTTGCAAGAACTCTAGGACATCCTTTGGCTAAAACATGATTCACAATTCTAATTGAAGTGGAGGGTGGATTAAAAAAAAGTCAAGAACCAGTTCTTGTGGGGACTACGCTCAAAATGCAGCTGGGCAGTAATAATTCCCTTTTGCTGAGGTATTTTGAGATCTAATTCCTCCTAGTCTTTAATCCATTTAATGAGAACCATATTGACTATATGTCATTCTGGTTTCTAAATCAAGATGCCTTATAAAAGCCTCAGAATATCAATCCCAACTTTTACCATTATCTGCCAATTTGTGGTCTCATTTAAGCGATCAAATACATTTGACAAATGGTCTTTTCTATAAATCTGTATCAGTTTTAGTGATATTTACACGTTTCATTCTGTATTAACTTTTTCATTGTTTTCCCTCTGACTTAGAATTATCCTAATGATCCAATTTAATAATTTGAAATACCGATATAATAATAGTTTTTTTCCAGTCCTCTGATATTTCTCCATTGTATCAAGATTGATTAGTAATGAACATCAGTAACCAGCCAGATGTTCAGAATTTCCTGGTGAGAGTTTTCTACAGCTGAAATATCTAGCATAGCTGGCTGCTATTTCACATTGTTTTGGGAATAAATGTTGATATATTAACACCCCCAAATAATTCTTTTGGTTGTAGAAATTAAGGATGAAAAAGAGACATTCGGTAGTGTGTTGAGGTAAGATTTTTCCCATTTGCAGAAGTTTTTCCTACCTGGCTTTAAATGTTTTGGACTAAGAGAATGTGTCCAGATACTGATGGAAAGTTTTCTTGAAATTTAAGTTGTATCCTCTCCATTTCTGTATATTAATGACATTTATTGCACTCTTGGTTTCACCATTTTCCTAAATTTTATTCCCTCCAGCAGTTTAAGTATTCTCATTTTTGTCTTTTGCTAGTTAGCTCTTTGAATTTATGATGATAGTTTAGAACTGAAAGCACCATTTCCACATACAGGTATATCATGACCACAAGGAACTTTCATGTACCTTCTCTGTAACTCCACTGCTATTCCCAGAGGAACTTCACAGATGTTTTGCTGTAAACATAACTAAAAATGAGTATTCAACTTTCCTTTGCTGCTCTGAATCCCTGTACATCTTTGAATCATTCTTTTTTTCTTGTTTGTCCAGGAAAAAATTCACTTCAGCTTTTTTCCCCTTCCTGAGATTACTGCAATGTTCTTTGCACTGTTTTGCAGTCTTGTTCAGTATTCGTAAGTGCAGACTAGATTCAGCAGTCTTCCTTAAGGAATAGAAATTTCAGGATTAAGGTAGGATATCAGATCAGCTCACAGTAGTGTCCAAGGTGAGGTATTGGGGTTAGCTTTAGTGATGTACAGACTCTTGCAGACCTGCACACATTAGACCACAAGGGAAGAGCAGCTTAACTGGTACCTGCTGTATAACGGCCATCACACTAATGCAGTTTCTCTGCTTATTAACCCAGCCTAACCTTAACAACCATTCTGCATGCTTGTGGACTCATTCCCCCATCTTCTTCCTACTGACATGAGTATTTGCTGAATCTAAAACCGCTGAGCATACATGCAACGTCTCCTTTACACTAGGATTTCTTGCAAAGGAAACTCCAATGTACTCTAAGTGGGAGAATAATTCTGCATCCACAACGTAGGCAGCGTTGGTAACCAGTCTTACAGTACTGCACTGCACAGGATGATCTGACGTGCACCGACTTTACGCTGCAGAAATTTAGCATAGTGTCTACTCAGTGGTATTCAGCATCTCTCTCCAAATGTTCCTTGACCTTATCTAGACTCAACCAGAGCTTAAGGTGAAGTCATGGATCTTTCTGCATTCATTCTGGTGATCCCTGCTTAAGCATAATCATTGTGCAGGTAAGTTTCCAATAAAAGGTCACTCTATTTTATAGTAATGTTGCAGAAATTATAAAATTGTAATTCTGAAAAGAATAGGTTTACATTCATTTCATATATTCACACTACAATTTATTCATTTCACAGAGTATGTTTTTGACCTCCTGTGGGCCAGACCCAATATCAATAGAAGGAAGGTCTTTCTTTCTGGACTCTGGACTTTTTGGATGTGTCCAAATATAAATTCAGATGACTATGAGCCAATGACATAGAAAACAGGCATAGGATGAGGGAAATCTCTATTGAAAATCTGCAATTCTGAAAGAGCATGGGATTCATGGTGGGTTGTTAGTTAAACATGAACTTTAACTATGCAGCCAAAAGTTCTTCTATTGACAGAGTATTGAGTGAGGAAAGAGTCATAGAATTGTTCAGGTTGAAAAAGACCTTTAAGGTCATCGAGTTCAACTGTTAACAGATACAGAAGCTATGTAGGTACTTGGTGCTAGCACAAGTGTTCCTTGAATACTGTGTCCTCTTCTGTTGTCTATAACCGAAACAGCATTTTAAAAAAATTGGTAGTGTTCCTATAAAGCTGTAAAAATTACTAAGAATATGTTTATGCTATATATGCTGGATTGCTGCAAGGTAATTCTACTGATTTATGAGCTAACCAAATAGTATGTGATCATATCAGGGCAGCACCATGTCCGAGCTAATATATTTCCATTTCAGAATGATTTATTATTTCAGACTTGGTGACACGCTCACACCATTGGGAAGTTTTGGGATAAGTTGGAGATTCAAGCATGTCTCCGGACTATACACCACAGAACTGTACTGTAGAACACACTGGCTAATGACACATTCAAGACAATTCATTTGCTTGGTTTACCAAACACACGATTAAGTGACTTGATTACAGTCTACAGCTATCTAAACAGAGAACAAAAAGTTGATAGAAGATCTCTTCTGTAAGTAGACAAGAAGATAAATAGAACTCAAGGTGAAATATCTTTAAACTAGGAACCAGGTGAATACTTTGAACAGCTTTAGATGAAGAATCAGTACTGAGGGTAGTTATTCTGGATTCTTACAGAAATTTTAAAATCAGTTTGCAGACCTTTCTTCTGTGTTCTCGTTCTAATTTGCACTGTCTTCAGCATGAGAAGTAAACTACATAAGTTTACAGTAGTCCCTCCTGTCTTAATCATCAGCTTACAAAATTTACTGCTCTCTCTGAACTCCAGACCTTTGCTAGCTATTCAAGTGTGAAAGCAGCCTGAGCTCACATAGCAAGCAGGTCTTTTCTTGATTTAGTATGTTGTTCTGCTATGCAATCAGATTCTGAATCGAATTCTGATACAGGTTGTCTGTGTAGTGAAAATAAACTATTAATCTGCATTTTTTTTTAGCCTGAATTGAGCTTAATAGTTTGTACAAACACTAGCAGGTAGATGAGACAGATTCTGTTGTTAAGATAGCACATTCACCTGAAAACTAGCAGGTTCAAAGATAGCCAAATCATTTTAAAAAACGGGTAGAAATAAGATTATGTAAATTTTGGAACAATGCACTGAATGAGAAAATGTAAGGATTAAAGATAAAC